CGGAAACCAGGCGCCTGTCAGTTTCCACCGGCGGCTGAATCTGGACTCCTGGGACAGAACAGCTGGGGCGCTGCCGGGTCGGTCCCCGCAGGACCAACCCGGCAGCACCCCAGCTGCTCTACCCCAGGCGTCCTGCAACAAAAGCCTGCTCCTTTGCCCCGGAGCAAAGCCACACAGGCGGCGGGGGCCCCCGCCTCTGCGGCTTTGCTCCTGTCTCCCTGCTGTGCTGGGGGGGGATTCCCCCCCAGCACAGCAGGGAGACCCGGAGCAGCTTTTCTCGCCCTGGAGGACGCGGTGGCGGGACCGCTGCGCTCTAGGCGGTCCCGCCGCCCACGAGCTCCGGGGCGAGAAAAGCCCCGTTCGTAAGTGTGGATCCGACATAAGTCAGATCCGCGTAAGTCGGGGACTGCCTGTATATAATGTACATAGAGCCTAAAAAACTGAAAAGCAATTGAGCTGGTAATAGAATTGTTACCTTCCAAAGCACCCATTATCAAAGTCTGGAAAATGCATCAAAACTGAAATTTATTAGAGACTGACTTGTAGCTGTATCTATAATTAAGGTTGTCTAACACTTTCTATTATAGTATACAGTATATGAAACAAACAAAATTGAGCAAATTTTTTATTCCCCTTCCCATCATGGAGACCAACAATATCTATAAACTGTCAAAAAGATACTAGTCATTATAAATACACAGTTGATACGCAAGTTAAAATAGCCACTATTCAGCTGTAGTTTATAAATTTATCTAATATATAAAAGATTGTGCTTAGACTCTCTGTAGTTATGCAAATGTAAGAAGATGGACCCATAATACAATTGAAAAAAAATAAGGCATCTATTCTTATGGAACAACATTAAAACCTGGTCAGCACAAAATAAATAGTAAAATAATGGCAGTAATGATACAATTTTGGTACACATTATATCATTCAAAATGCTGCCGTACTGTTTTTCTGAAATGTACACAGCCATTCTTTGACATTTGAGATGGTAGACATGTTGTTCATGTCACATCTAATTTTAGTAAATTAGAAGGAAAAGTATGCTCCCATGACCCAGAAAAAAAGCACAAATCTTTTGTGTAAAATATATAACATTTTCTTCTTACGAAAATGGTAAGTTACATTTTAAGCTTAAAAAAAGGAGTATAAAATCTTTTATACAATGCACAACTGACAATGCTGAAAAAGCTAGTGTACATCAGGTAAAACTGACAAATTAATTGCAGACCTTTAAGAATCATGAGAAAGTGCTATGAAATTTAGGAGCAATGTACTGATGGCATTTAACAGATACTTGAAAATGCATAAAGAGATGTATAGTATTCCACACATCTACAATTTCTAATTGACACTACTTTCTGGCAACTTGACATATATACTCTCTCCCTGCCTCCCCTCAGCCTTTTCAAATTCACATCCTTTCACAAATATGTGGAGGTATTTTTAATTAGTTGAATGTTAATATTTAAGGTATTTTCAACTAAAGCTGTGTCAAATACAGCTCTCGCTGTAACACAGGTGTCTTGCAACAAGTACTACCCCTTTAATCTACATTACTGACTTCATATTTCTAGATTTGCACCTTAGACATTTAGAATCTGTGCTATATTAATATTTCTATACGCAACATCTGTATGTAGATTCCATCTCAAAACAAGGAGCATGGAATTATGCAGAAGTAGCATTGAAACCTTCCAAAATGAAAGTCTCAGTATATCCCAGTGGCAGTAAGAGGGTGAGTACCAAAAATAGAGGACTCTCTCTCCCCTTTTTATTCCAGTATCAAGGGATAGTTAGTCACAAGACCAGAGCTTTATCTTGCTCCTACTGCAGTCACTGGAAATGTGGCCATTTAACCTCAACTAAAACAGCTGCAGGCCTACCTACTGTAATATGGCTCAGATTTTTCAAGCCAAAGCATGTTTTTAATAAAAAGCAATCATGTTTTTCTTTAAACAATGGTGTAGGCTTGTGTCAATTTCAGTCTGAGATATTTGAGCAAGATAGTGTATAAATTTTAGCCTTACTCAAATGTATAAGATATCATTAAATCAAACTGTATAATTAAAGAGCCCTATAAACTGAGGTTCACAGTTTCTGTGCTTAGTTTCCCACCGCTTAAACTGTGAATCATTGCTATCATATGAGAATGTTTGCTCAGTTCTTCTTGCTGCAGTTTTACTATGGCTTCCTTTTCTTCCAAACGTCCTTCCAGTTGGGACTTTTGAACTTCCAGGGAAGATGCCTGGAACATGAACAAAAACTAGTTCAGTAATCCCTCCCACAATGGAGTTCACAGAACACTTTCACTTAAGGCAGGGGTGGGGAACCTCAGGCCCGTGAGCCAGATGTAGCCCCTGACTTGACTGGATCCAGCCCCCAAAGCCCAGAGTTGGGGAGCCTGTCCTGGCACTCCAGCCCCGCCATCACCTCATGGGGCTAGAGCACAGAAAATCTACTGGGCTGGGCTCCCCTAGGCTCTGCTGGGTGAGGGATACGTGAGGAGTGTCTTTCTGCTTCTCAAAATGCTTTACAAATGTCAATACTCACCACTGAAAGGTAAGTATTAATCTCATTAAAAACAACTGAAGATCACGATGTGCCAAACCTTTACAAGAGCATACAAGATGCAAAAAGTCTCTTCTCTCCACAGCCTCTAGCAAGGGAAAGATCCTGTGCCTTGCTCAGTGCAAGGACAGGTCCCTAACTAACTTCAAAGTAGACACACCTTTCTTCTGCAACCACTGACAAATTTTGTTGGTTAGTCTAGATTCTAGAAGTACAGGAGTCCCCCGACTTGAAATGTAATTGGTTCCGGGAGGAAGCATTGCAAATTGGGGGCGTTGTAACTCAAACCTGCATTTAGGGTAGGCCCTGTCGTAAATGCAGGTCGACATAAGTCGGAGGGTTCCAGCCCCCTCCCACACTTACAAAAACGGTTGTAAGTGTGTGTGTGTGGGGGGGAAGGGGGGTCAGAACTTGGGCGGTCACATCTCAGGGGCCTCCTGTATATACAGAACTCTCTCATACCTTGATATAATATGTGCATCTTCAGCATAGCTCCCTGAAACACATCTATAACTTATTGGATCCAGGGGAACAGTGGGGAAAGAGCCACAGCAAACTTAAAAAGAAGCTCATTGCCTTAACAGAACAGATAACCCCTCTCCGGTTTAAATCTCAGAAGTCCCTTGCTCAATTATATGAGAAATTGAGGCAGCCTTAACTTTAGCTATTTTCTACATTTTTTTTGTACAATTTTCCATTTCTAACAATTATTTTATAATTCTGGGTTTTACAGTTTTCAGTAAGCTATCAACAGAAATTCTTACCTTAATACTCAATTCTTTTCTTGCCTGTTCTGTTTTACTTAATTCCTTTCTTAGAATGTCAATACTTTCTTCCATATCTGCTTTTTCTTTATGCCGGACTTTCAGTTTTTCTTCTAGAAGCTTTATCTTTTGTTGTAAACCTTTTGAAAGATGTATTGAAGAGACAGTTAGCAAGTTTTAATTTTTCCAATTCCTAGTAAAACTGCTAGTATGTTTAAGTTTTACACACACCAGGACTACTAATGTAATTAGCCTGTACTGCCATCTACTGCAAAATTTTAGTAGCTGGCTACCAACATTTTATATTCGCTGATGACTTTTCAAATGATGACCTACCTAATCTAACTTTTCCTACTTTGTAGCTTAGCAGTTTCTAGTCAACCTGTTCGAAACAAAGTTTTCAAGAAGGCAGTTATTTGTTTTGAAACCATGCAAAAGGCAACAGTTTAGGTTTGGCAAGCTTTTAAAACTTTCTTGGACTTCTCCACTATGTGACCTTAAAACAATTCCTCATTTTATATTTTACAGATATTTAAGTCTATGTTTTGAATAAGAGTTACATGCTTCTCTGACTACCTTCTGCTCCTGAAGAGTGGATTTTTAGCTTTATGTATTTAACAAAAATTTTGCTGTCCAGAAATAAGATCATTAAAAAATAATCCAGCAATGAGTCTATTTAAATCCAGTTAATTCTCTATGGATAGCACAAGATTTACAAAATCAGACAATGACTTACTTGATATTTTACTCTCTCTATCCTGTAGCTGTTTCACTAATTCTTTTCTATGATCTTCTGTTTCTATCAATTGTGCAACAGTTCTGAAATTGCAAGTGAGAAAATCCCGATTACCAGTTATTTCAAAAATAAAAAGACAGATGCAAGATTCATGTTCCCATCTCTTTGCAGCAGCAAGCTAAAACAACTTGTGCAGCATTCCTTATTCATTCTTAGAGCCTGAATCCTAGAGACTCAGTCCCCCAAGTATAGATTGAACCTCCCAAATCTGGGACTCCCTGGTCTGGCAACATCTATGGTCTGGTAGGGCCATGGATGTTGCTGGACCAAAGAGCATGTGGGAAGCCCCGCCCCCCCTCTGCCAGGCTAGGAACCCCAGCATCAACGGGGCCAGATGGCAGTCAGGGAGCTCCGACCCTGGCTGGGGAACCCCTAGTGTTAGCAGGGCCATGTGGCTGAGAAGCCTTGCCCACCCTCCTCCTTCCCCCCAGGAAACCTTGGCTGCAGCAGAGCAGCTTGCAGCTGGATGGCCAGGAACCCTGGGAAACCCCCAGTAGCGGAGGGCGGGACCAGTAACCAGGCAGCCTCTGCCGGGGAACCCCCAGCTGAAGTGGGGCTGGCGGAGGAATCCCCAGCAGCAGTGGGGCAGCCAAACACTCCAGATGGAGAACTCCCATCAGCAGCAGGCTGCCAGTGGCTAGGGGGACCCAGCTGGGAATCCTGGGGAATACCATACAGCAGCAGGACTAGCAGAAGCCGCCAAGTGGTCCCCTCTGGGCTTCTGGGAGATCTTGGGGCAGCAGGCGGGCAGCAAGGCGGGGAGCTGTGCCAGGCCAGCTTTAGTAGTGTCAGCAGCAGGGCAGGGAGCCCCAGGGAGAGGAACCTGGGAGTAGGGCAGCCAGCAGGGGGGAATACTTGACCTCCCCCTGGTCCGGCAAACTCCCTGGTCCAGGACAGCTAAGGTCCCGAGGGTGCTGGACCAGGGAGGTCCAACCTGTACAAGTAATACATCATTTTTTATATCACCAAGCAAGTGAACACAACCATCTTATTGGGATTGAAAACCCATTTAGCTAGTGTTGTAAATTTATTAATGCTACATTATCCCACACCAAGTAAATTAATAAAACCTGCTCTAAGAAAAAGGCATTTTCTGCAACTATGGTGCACAGTTTTCAATACCATTTTGTCCATCCATTAGGAGGACTACATATATAGACCAGTGGTTTTCAATGAGAAACACAACATACCCCTGAGAATATGCAGAGGTCTTACAGGTGGTACATCAACTTATCTAGGTATGTGTCTAGTTTTACAACAGGCTATATGGAAAGCACTAGCAAAGTCAGTATAAACTAAAGTTGCATACAGACAGAATGAGAAAGAAGTTTTTCAGTAACAGACAGAAGTGTTAAAAACTATTTGCTTAAGTGTGCTGTAAGTAAGGTAAAACTTGGGACATGCAAGAGAAATACGACTTGAAAGAGGGTTAGTAGATTGGAAAGGTTGGGAACCACTGTACTAGACAATCTTTTTTGCTGATATATCTATAATACAAGGTATTAATTGCTTAAGTTAAAAAAATTAAATTATGGGAATTAAGTTTAGTTCTACTGTACCCTTTAATTACGAACTTATGTAAATGCACTAATGTGTCACTTTGCCATCCTTTTACTTGGTCTGTTGTACATCTGTTGCCTATGGTCTAAATCCTAATCGGAAACTCCCAAAGTGAAGGTGGAGGGAAGTAGACTGCTGTTATTTATTTCACAGTACCTATTACACCAAGGTCCCTAGGCAGTGTAACAATAGACAATCTGAAAACGTAAGATCAGATCAGCTTCCTGGTATATGAGTAATATTTGATTGCTAATACAATTTTACACCTATTAATGCTGAAGACAAGCTTTAAACACGTGAATGGTAATTCCACTCTGCGTTATAAATCACACTTAACTACATTCTGACTGCAGAGTTTTTACTACTGGTGATACAAAAGCCCGGAATAATGCAGCTTAACTGTCATAGCTGGAAGCTAGAAAACCAAGCAATTTACATATAAAGTGAACATATTTGGTCTGATCTTACTCTGTCTTTTTTGCAAAAGAGTTATCATCCTTAAAAATATCAGTTAGGGGGAATAAAAAAAGTTATGTACAACTTAGAAGCTCTTTCCTCAGTTGTTGCAATGAAAGATCAGTTTTCCCACCTCACTTCTCTGGCCAGCCTACCAATTTTCTGTCCTCAAAAACCTGGGTAGTCTGATGGATTAGGAAAGATGAATGAAGAAACTAAATTCAGAATTCTTGTTCATTTGGGATAGGAGTATGTGAGCACATATACTTGTGAAGCAGAGAAGAACTAAATTAGTCATTTATGTTTGAACATGTTCCAAGTCCTACATCACAGGAGGAAAGTGAAGTACAGCAATAATAAATTATATATTGAGTTACAGTTAGGGATGTTAGATATCATGTAATAGAATAGTTGTATAACAGCATTAAATCTTAGCAGTTACATGGTTATTCAATAGTCCCCAGGCACGGGGCCAGCAGCCAGTGTGCTCCCAGCCCAACTCCCGGAGAGCCCCTTGCCATCCTGCACAGCTCTGATACATCTTCATCAGTTTTATTTATAGAAGAGGTATTCTATACAAACTGAAATAATTGGAGCTTAGACTCCCTCCACGGACAGGGGGGCTGATGCCACTCAGCGCTGCTGCATCTGTATCGGAGGCAGCAATGTGTGGTAACAGGGGGGATTGATCCACAAGGGAAGCCAGTTAAAAAAAGCTTCCCTCACAGACCAGGTGCCAGTCAAACTGCGCTGCTGCCTCTGATAGAGGGGCCCAACCTCCAATTATTTAAAATTTGTACAGAAGACTTTTGCTATAATAAAAGTGATGAACAAGTTAAGAGCTCCATCATTGTAGAAGAAGGAGTTTAAGACTCCTTTTCTTTGTCAAGTTCTTCTCTGCCTTGACTACCACCAAGTATCATAGAACTAGTGAAGGCTATCAAATTTAGCTAGACTAATCAAACAATTCCTATTAGACTAATAGAAATACGCCTCACAGAGTTAAATGATTGAAATTCATCATTGCCCTCTGGCCTAATTTAAGATGCCCTCTAATGAGAGGGAATTACTTAGGCCAGATCTACACTAAGGGTTAAGTCGACCTAAACTGCACAATTCCAGACACATGAATTACGTAGCTGGAGTTGACGTAATTTAGGTTGACTTATTTCCAGGTTTACGCTGCACTGGGTCAACAGCAGAAACTCTCCTGTTGACTTAAATCATGTTTTATATTCCGGTGAAGTACCAGAGTCAACAGGAGAGAACTTTGCAGCTGATTGCCACAGCGTTATTCTACAAATCCTTAATTAGCAAAACTTTTGACCCTAATGTACTGACAAAAGCACTATTTTACACGAGAGAATCCTTTGCACACAAGAAGGGGGTCTTGAAACCTACTAAATTCCATAATGTACTCCAAGTAGTTTCAGGAATTTTACATGACTTGAAGTTCTCCTTGCCTCTTTGTGTGGAATACCAGAAACAAAACAAATTGGAGAAATCTGAGGGGCCTCCCGCCCCTCAGGAGACTCTAGAAATCAGAGATAATTAAGCAATCGGTATTGTTGTGACTTGATCATATCCCTTTAATTTGCTTTAAAAAAAAAAAATGAACTAGACTTACTTGTCATTCTGCTGTTTAAGTGATTCATTCAGCTTTTTCATGGCCTCAGTTTGTTTATTTAGTGAATTACATGTAACCTGCAGATCTTTATATTGTCTTTCAGTGGTTTCATGCCTAAAAGTAAATAATTGATGGGTTATGGTTAAGAAAAGTAATGGTTAAAAATTTACTCTCATGAAAGAAAAAATTTACTTTCATGAAAGACAACATGCTCTCTTTCGAAAAAGCACAGTTTGCATTAAATAACTCCTTTTTTCGAAAGAGCACTTTCGAAAAAAGGCGTTACTTGTAAAATGTTGTTTTCTGTTGTTGAAAAAACTACCATGTTCTTTTGATTTACTTTCAACGCAGAGGATTTTAATTAAAAAAAAAACCAACCAAAACACACCAGTAGTCTAGACACACCCTTATAGGATTCAGACAGAGCTGTACCCAGTGCTCTTTGGCAGAAAAGACTAATTAGGTAAAAGTAGGTCCTCTAAGAAGGCCCTGTGAAACCCATTTTCTCTTTTTTCTCTGTTGCCTATCTAATTTTTTTTTCTTTTAAGTTAGAGAACATATAGATGTTAAGTACTTACTTCTGCAGAAGATCAACGGAGGATCTTTTCAGCACCTCATATTCTTCAGCCACTGTTTGTAATTTCCTATTATGTTGAAAGAGTTGCTCTATGTCATTCTGTGCCCGTTCAGATTCTACCTGCTGAGCTTTCAGCAAAACATCAAGTTCTTCATTTTTTCGCTCTGTATCCTTCAACATTGCAGCAAGTGTCCTTGCCTTTTGAGCAAAAAGAAAACACACAAACTCCATTACATGCCTAAGTTATGTTGCTTAAGTCACTCAAAACCTGGGAACTTTACATGGTTTTATAATTCACCCTACTGCTAGATCATCTATAAAACCTATATGATCAAATATTCCATGGTCAGCATATAATATTAAAATACGCTGTCTAACTTTAAAGCACCTTTAATGTTTTGGCAAATGATGACTGAAGCAGTTATTTTATACGCTGAGATTTACTTTTTTGTTAGACATTTGTGACCTTAAAAGTTCAGATACTCTTTAAAAGTATCTAAAGTGATTATATTGGTGGCTCAAGGTTCACTCAAAAGTGTAACTATCCAAAGAAACAGAGACTGGTTATTAGCTAATATATAAACAGGAAGTGGATTTAGAGCTGTCTGCTAATGCCTCTCATTTCAATACTATACTGAGAAGTACAGTTTCTCAGAATAGCATTATAAAACTTGAACAGTAACACTACTACAGTGAATGATGTTGCATTGATGTGGAAAATTACTGAGGCTTTTCTGAAAGACCAATTGGTAATGGGGCATTAACACTAGCTAGCCATGTCCACAAAACTCTCACATATAACTTGGCTAAACAGTGAAGGAAGGGCAGACTTCAAAAATGACACACAGTCACACTTCTATGGTGTAAATGTTAAATATAGCGGCTCAAGGAGCTATTAGATATAAAAGGATGAAACAAAGAATATTTACTGTATCAGAAAAATTTAGAAGTGACACTAGCTTAGAATATTTTCCACAGGTGGTAATTTATCAGTAGTATTTAGTTTTGTTTTTTTTTTTAATTTTAGTTGTAGCTTAGGAAATATGTAAAAAAAACCACTCTCTACTGGGACCTCCACAAAAGAACTACAGTATGGACTAGATCTTATAAGTATCTTATACCTCTACCGTCCAGACTTTCTTACTCATACTCACCTCAGATTCAGCTTGGGCTCTCTGACAACGGTACTGGGCAATTAGCCTATCAGCTTGAGCAAGCGCTAGTGCCTTTGCCTCCAATAGATCTTGTAACCTGGTTTCTTTGGACTAAAGATTAAGAAAGATTAATAGCGCTATTTCATTAATTTTCACCTTTCATACAAGTACCTATACTCTACAGTCATATAAATACATATGTTCATATGTACTCACAGCTAATGCTGCTAGTTTCTGTTCATAGACGTCCATTAGGTCAGACATCCTCACATCAGTGTTTGGTTCTTTCATCTGTGGGAGAAGTTACGGTAGTAGAATTCAGCAGCTTGAAGTTAAGTTGTCAGATTTGTAGCTACTGGATCAACAATCATTTGTCTTGATGAGAGTACAGTAATTAAATGAGTCCACAGGCTGGCAGCCACTCTGCCTTCAAAGATTAAAACTACTGCTGCATCAACTTAAGTATATCTCAATCCTATTCATTTAATGAAAGCAAATATCAGAATTACTGAATAAAAATTTACCCAATGAAGGCATATAAGTTAGTATCACTTCAAAAATGAGGGAGAGCTCATTAACTATATATTGCTGGCTCCTACAGTTTGGTTGGGCATGGGAAGCCTATAGAGTTCTTCCTGTGAAATGGTATTTCAGTTCTGCAGGACTAGTGGTGGGGCATTATGGCCAAAAAACCACTAATCTCTGGAATTCACGACCTTTACAGAGATGGGTCAGAATATTTTGTTGGAAACAATACAGAGACAGTCTGAAATGTCTCCATCTTTAAGACCTTTTAATGTGCTAAAAAAATTGACCTTTATGGCTTATATGTTTACTCAACTGAATACCTTTGTAAACATTTACATTTTTGTATATTCTGTTGAGGAGAGCTTTCCATAGGTGCTGGAGATTAATGCCAATTATGGGCATGTTGTTCAGTTTATGCTCATGGATGCTGCTGCACAAATGAACCCAGCTGTTTGTGCTTTTCAGTATAGAAGTATTATTCAAAGATAGTTTACTAACATCTTGTGACACCATCACTTCCTACACAGGGAAAATTCCCTAATGTAGAAGATCAGACATGTATTCTTTTTCCCCATTTGTTTTTAATTCTCTCTGTAACAGTAGGATCCAAGAGGATGCAAAGTTGAAGGATCACATAAGGTCTCATTTAGAATTTTACTAAAATGTACAAACATGGCAAGACCAATGATAAAACATTCTTTGGACTATTTTGTTTTTAATTTACTTAGCTTTTTCATGTGAAGAACTTAAAATGCATTACAAAAAGATGACCTCTTCTACAGCAGGGATGGGGAACCTAAGGCTCAGGGGGCTGGTTGACGCCCCCCGCAGCTTGCCTGGATCCAATCCCCCAAAGATCAGGGCTCCCTTCCCCCAGCACTGGAGAGCCCATGCTGGTGCTCAACCCCCTGCCACCGCAGGACTGGAGCACACACAATCCTCTAGTCCGGGCCCATCCTAGACTCTGGTGTATGAAGAGAAGGTGATGTAAAAACCATTTTATATTTAGCTAAAAGCCATTCTGTATAACAAAAGCCATTTCAGTTTCTTGTGTCTGCACGTAGGCTAAAAAAGTAAACTGGCCTTCACCAAGGTAAAAAAAAAAAAAGGCCAAAAAAATGCGCTGTTAAAATATGTTGTTAAACTATTTTAAGCTAAAGCTCAAACTCCCTCTAAACCTGTTTTTTTCCTCTTCTAATAATAATTACTCTTTAAAGTTGGCTTTAATTTCTTGCCCTAACGTCAAACTTGTTTGGTTAAGGGTATAAAATACTAAAATTAATTGTATGAGCCAGCCTTACTGGGCCCAGCTTTGCTAAAACCACGTTTGGCTCACTTTGCTTTTATTGGCCAATAAAACTGTTTAGCCGCGTAAACTAAGTAAGGCGTTTGCTTCAACAGTGAGGACTGCCTTTCTTCTTCTCAGTCAGGGACCAAGTCAGTGTGAGTTTGGGTTTTGTTTTTGTTTGTTTTTTTATTAAACTTCTCACCTGTGTGCGGCCCCTGACTAGTTTTTCTCTGGGTCAGTGGCCCCAAAGTTCCCCACCCTTGTTCTACAATGACTTTTCTTCGATAGCTTGTGTTAAACATTTAAGACTGAAGTATTTCATGTTAATGGAATAAATTACAAAAAATGTAAAAAGACATTTCCTCTTGGAAGGAACAGCTCCTCTGATATGAAGAGTTAAGTACAACACTAGGTGTATGCCAGTAAGTTTTAGTTCTGTCAGAAATTCATTTTACAGTTTCGATTGCAGGAGCTGTTGCCATATTTGGAATTATTTTGTACTGGAGAAACCAGTTAAGTTAATGCAACAAATTCTGTATTTGGTATCTAGGCACATGCTTTAGAAAATTTAAATAAAAAAGAATGTTAAAGCTGTTTGCTCATCTTATAATGAATGCTGTATCAGATGGAAGTAATATTTCCACTGTTGCAAGGCAACATCTCTACCTCATAGGGATGCTGTGAGGATAAATATCAAGATCGAGAGGTGCTCGCAGACAAGTATCTAAAAAAGGTGAGTGATTATCCCACAGCCTATGTGCTAGAATGCAATTTGCTCCCTCCATCCCCCACACCTCAAGGAATGTATTTCTATAAATAACTTATCCCTTTGTGCATCAATGCAACAAAGATCTTAGATTTTGTGGGACATATCTGCTAAGTCCCATATCTGCAAGCTAGGTAAACATAAGCAATACACTATCAAGAGAAAGGTTCTCAACTATGAAAGTCTAATAGACCAGACTGTTGATCTCTCTGGACACAACAGGGGCCCTCTGATTTGAGCTTCTGCCTGAGAATATAATAGCATACATACTGAGTTCTGGTGCGGTGTCCAAGTTAACATTTGTCAACATTATACTGTAGCCTAAAAGTTTCAGGTGCTACAACTCTGTTAATACTAACAAAGTAAGTAGTTATCCTACCAGAAATATAAAAAATACTATTAACCTCCAGTCCAGATTGAAGTTTCTGTATTAGTTCTTGAATGTTTGAAGTTGTTGCATCATCACCCGAAGGGTAGGAAGTAGAGCATTTCATGGGCATAGTATTAGTAACAGATGACTGCATATGGATTTTTTTTGACGCATGCTCTGTCGCTTGTTGTCGGTAAGCATTATTTGCTGCAATACTTTCACCAAGCCTATGTAACAAGATTTATAAAGTAAGTAACAGAACCTGGAAAGAATGTCAATTTGAAGATTGGAGACAATGATTTTATACAAAGAATTGTACAACATGAACACACAACACTTGGAAAATATAACATCATCCCTATTAGAACTAAAATACTGTACTAGCTACACTACAGTTAGATATGTACATGGAATGTTTTGAGACAAAAAGGAGAAGAACTCAAAAACAAACAAAAAATTATTCACAGATGGCAGTTTCTCTCTACAATCACTGTGAATTTTATCTACTATATCTACAAACAAATGTTGTATCCTATTGGAAAGAATATTTCCAGCTCCTCTTAAATTGCACAGCATCTGTTCCTAGCTTTGACAGTTTGAGTTACTGGACTTTACAACTTGTCCGAGAATGGTGAATGTGGCCCAGCATGCATAACAGACCAGAATTTGCGATGATGAAAGATTCAACTATGAGAGCAGAGAAAACATTTTGAAGAATGTAACAGTTACTCAGACATTTGGAACATTAGTAGTGAAAAAGATGCAAGTTCAGACTTTAAATAAATCACTCAGACTAAAGTAATGAAAGTGAAAGATATCGTTGTTAGCCCCTTACCACCCACACGAAACTCACACTATAGCAGGGAAGTCTGGTAATGGTGCTGCCTCAAACAGTATTCTAAGTCCAGCCTGTACTTGTTCTCGGTTGTCTGATGTTAAAGCAAAAGCCAAAGGTGTAATCAAACGTTGATCCTGGGCAGAAACCACTTGTGTCAATTTATATTTATAATCAACCACGGAATCCAGATATTGCAATAGACCAAAAACAATGTGAACAGATATAATTTTTTAAATTTCAGTTACCCTTGTAAAAATGTATGCAGATATACATATTTGCAATTTTCTGAACCCATTTAATTTAACAGAGCTATGAATTTTTACAAACATGAAAAGCTTGCTTTCAGGATTCTGCACTTTACCTGCACAGGACTATGTAATGGCATTCAGTTCAGATAATGTGTAATGAGGGAAAGATATTATTGTCTCTGAGCGCAAAATTATCTTACCTATGCAAATGGTCATTGTCCTCCCATCTGGACTAGATATCAGAAGGAAGACAAATGAGCCAAACTTGCAGTCTCTTAAGCACATGCCTCCACTTTGAACAAGAGGGGTTTTAAGGATTTATATAACCATGCCAGAAGCATGCCTAGAATAGCTTAAGTCATCCATTCTCCTGAAATCTAAACATCTCGTTTTAGAGGAACACCCAATGAGAATAAGGAAGAAGTTAAGTGTCTTAGCGTTTGAAAACGAAGGTGCCAAATACAGACACTATGGTGTTTTTTGTTCTGTGAACACTTGTCAACAAGAAAGTGAGCTGAATACAGTTCATCTGACTTTTCAGTTATAAATGATTTTGTAGTACACAAAGAAAGCTAAATCTGATTTGGACAAGAGATTAAAAGTTTCACTTCCTAGTAATCAATCCACCAAGCCAGCTACTTGATATGAGAGCCAAAATAAATTTCCGAGTTTAGGACACCTGAAATTTTAATCCTTACACTATATCTGCAGTTGATCATAAACACTATGCTTAAGTGTATCTTAATATACATCATTGAAATAAAAGGACTGAAGACTAATACAAGTGAAACAAAAGGTCAAAATGTTAAACACTAAATATTTTAAACAAACATATAAAAGCTTTTGGACTGAAAAACAAACAGAAAGAATCACAGTTCCCTGGGCAAGTTCTTCAATATATTATGGACACTTAAGATTTATGCTGGAAACACATTCAGAATCAAATCAAGAGTGATGTATTATATATTCTCTTTTTAAATGGTTCTTTATAAAATATTTAAAGTCTACCTGAAGAATTTTGTAGAAGCTGACTTCCATAGTTGGCATCAACTGTTTAAGTCTGCTCATAAGATCAAGTATTTTCAAAATAACATCAGCAGCAAGTTTGCTTTAAATAAAATTGGAATGAAAAGTTTTAATATATACACCAAGAATACGTTTACACTTAGCTACTTAGAAAAAAAGATGTGCCTTGGAAAAAAGTTTGTACCATTGAAGTCAAGTAATGACAACCCTGGAGATTCAATTCCTCTATCAATTCAAAGAACAGAAAGAGGTGCTAGCAATGTAAGCTTCCCCTATTCTATCATGTAATGTGCACTTTCTCTAGGAGAATGGATAATCTTCATACCTTGGTTTCTGCTGCAAGCAATGACAAGAAAGCCAATAGCAATAATGCAAGATTTTACATGATACATTTGTAAACCTTAAAGCTGACATTAATTTCACATAAGCAATTAATGGAGAATAATAAATCCTAGTCACCAATCATCTGAGATAAATTCACACTGGCAATACTAAGGTGAAAGGTATGATAAGGCCATTCCCATGTGCCAACCCATTTGCTCTCTCTGAAATCGTGTATTTTCAATTTTTCTTCCAAACTAATTTCAAACAGATATCGAAACTTCAGTCATCTAAACCAATGATGTTAAAGAATGGATGGCTTGAACATTAATATACCTCGGATATAAAGCAATAACTAAAATTGTACAAGTACATACTAAATATAACATACTTCCATATAACCAGAATTTCAATTTATCCTGAAAGAATTACAAAATGTGCAAAGATGACAATACTCATTGAACTGCTCATGTTACCATTTGTCTCTCAATGCTGCTGTCTACTGCCATGAAAATACTATTACCAGCAATTAAGTGGTACATTTGAATTAAATTATTTAACTAGCATTAACTGAAACATAAGGCTTTAAAAAAAAGTTAACACCCTCATTTTCAGAGTAAATTAAGTTTTAGATTAATTTGATTTTAGCATGCTCACCACAGTTCTGAGTCCACTACCTTTGTCCCATAGGCAACATCAATCCCACTATACGTAAACTGATATTCTATTAGAGATGCGCATCTACTTGCAGTCAGTACCTTAGAGGCATGCATTTTCATTGTGTCCTCTCCACAAAGCAGTAATTTCAGTTAAGGATGTAAACTAATTTATTCTGATACATTACAACATACTGACAACTTTAATTAGATTCAAAATATCAAATGCTTGAAACACTAGACAAGTAAACATCACTGCTCAATTAGAATGCAGTTCTTTAAAGATAAAGGAATACGCTTTGTTTTTCTCTCTCCAAACAAAATCACTTCTTTTGCACTTAAACCAAAACTTAAAGCATATTAAGCTGTGAGTCACTAGCAGAGCAAAGTTTGGCTATGCCAGTTCTTGGATGGGAATCTCCAAAGGACACGGACATAATGCAGGAAATAAATACCTATTAGTTGAAAAGAAGGCACCTTCACTTCAGAGCTTGCTCAAAAGAGACCCAACAAATAAATGCACGTATAGGAAGATTTATGGTGCTCCTCATAGTAACTGACCATTCCAAATTATCATGAATTTATACTCAGCTTTGATGTGAGATAGCATAATAAAAAGAAGGAGAGGGGGGCTACTAAACAGATAGGGCACTGACAGGGAGAGGGTGATTTGCTCAAGGTCACATGAAATCTGTGGCAGAAACAGAATCCTGATTGTCCAAACAATAGTCCATGATAGGGATGTAAAATCCTCTTTAATTAACCAGTTAAGCATTATGTTTAACTACTTAACTGATTAAATGGGGGCAGGAATGGAGTAGGAATGTAAAATCCTGATTAATCCGTTAACCAGTTAAACCAGGGGTGGGCAATAATTTTTGGCTGAGGGCCACTTACAAATTTTCTGAAGTGCCCCTGGGGTTGCCCCGGAAGGGGTGGGGCCAGAACACTTCTGGGCTTCCCCACCCCCAGACCATAATTGACCTGGGGATGGGGAGAGCGCGCGCAAAGCCTCCTCATGCCCTACCCCAACCCCGTGAGGAGCATGAAGCACTTCAAAGTGCCATGCGCTGCTTGCAGGGCAGGAGGAGACGTCATGTGCTCCCCCACCCCCAAGCCCTGACTTGTGCGAAGATTCCCTTGGCCTGCTCCCACCCTGCGTGAGCATATGGAACTTTGAAGTGCCTTGAGCTCCTCACAGGGTGGAGGGGAGGGCAGAGGAAACTTCACACACTCCTCCTGCCCACAAGCCAATTAGGGCTTGGGGGGGGGCACGGCAGCATGTGACATCTCCTCTGGCCCTGGGAGCAGCGTGTTGCACTTTGAAGCACTGCATGCTGCTCACAGGATGGAGGAAGCTTTGTGCTCTCCACCATCCCCAGGGCCTAATTGGCCTGGGGGCAGGGGAGCAGCAGGGCCTATGCAGGCCAGATCAACCTGCTTGGCGGGCCAGATCCGGCCCATGGAGACCCTTTTGCCCACTCCTGATTTAAATGTAAGAATCCCACCAGATTTAACCAGTTAAACAACTAAGTGGGATCCTGGTTGAAGGGCTACCACCACTGGCTTCTGTCCCCTGTGCTGGGACAGCAGCGACCCATGGCAGGCTGCAGGCCAGGAACCGCTCCTGGCACTGGTTAAGTTACCTGGTAAGCATCACTCCATGCTATGTGCAGAGCGAAAGGAGTGCTGATGTCAGGATGTCCCTCCTCCCCATAATTGAACCCCACCATACTCCATTCCCCATGTCCACAAAGCAAGATATCACAACTACAGATGCCTAAATTTGAGCTTGCTCATCTACTATACTTAAAAGGGCAGTGTACTTCAAATAGCAATGTGCTTCTGTTTGCCTCTCTCTCTCGCTCTCACACCCCCACACAGAATGTGTGTGTGTCTGTTATACCCCTTGGCACTGTGCAGCTGAGTATGTGCCATCCAGAAGAGAAGTGTGTTCCAGTGGGATTGGAGGGAAGGGTTCTTCATGTTACATTTCTGCAGAGAAGTGTTTGTAGCAACTACCATGCGTCTATTATGTTTCCTCCCTTGATCCTTGTAGAGTATGAGGTACATTAACTACAATATATTGACCCTTAAGGGCTCAGCTGACAGCTAGTTCATTATTTAGTAACAAGATGTTCTCTGGGAAACAATCCACCCTCTGACTTTACCATCTCGACCAAGCTTCACAATCATCATAGCTTTACAGTATTAAATTGTTTACAATTTATTAGGGTTGTCAATTGACATGCATTAATGCCTGCGATTAACACAGGGCAGGATTAGTGCGTTAATTTTTTTAGCTCCAGGGCTTCAAAAGGGCAGCGCATTAGGAGCCTGGGATCAGCTGGGTACTCCAGCTGATCCCAGGCTCCTGCGGTGCTGCCCCTTTAAATGCAGCCATTGCATTTCAAAGGGGCAGCTGCACTGAGCCTGGAGTCAGCTGAGGACTCCAGCTAATCCCAGGCTTCCTCAGCACTGTCCTTTTGAAATAGCGCCAGTGTTTCTAAGGGGCAGCACACGCGATTCATCACGATTAAATTTTTTTAATCATGATTTTTTTAATTGCTTGACAGCCCTACAATGTATACTGTAATATGCATATATTGCATTTTGTCTGTTGAAAAAAAAATATCCCTGGAACCTAACACCCCCATTTACATGAATTCTTATGGAGAAATTGGATTTGCTTAATATTGTTATGCTTAAAGTAGCATTTTTCAGGAACATAACTTCCATGCTGCAGGGAGGAGTTACTGTAAGGTGATCTTTCTATATTGGTTGCAATAACCTAGTAAAATACTCTTCATTCTAAAGAATTTCAAGGTGCAAGAGAAAAGGAAAAATTAAATTAAATGAATGTCCTTAATATCTTGAAAAAATTAAAAGTTTTTTGAAAAAAGATTTTATAAGCATCTATAAAACCAGTAAGATCTTATAACAGAGCTCACAGTATATAGGCAATGGGAATAACTTGAATAAGGATATTTAGCATGACATCAATAACTTTCACCATTCTTTCACATTTCTTCTTCACTAACAGCTCTTCTAGATTCTGCTCTGGCAACTCAAGGTTATCAAGAAGGACAGGTAGCAAAAGATCCACAAAGCGTTCAGCTGAAGTACTGTTGCCAGTATCAATAACATCCTGCAGCAAAACACAGACATCAGACTGTGTCAAAATTTAAAACCACAATCAAGGAGGTGCAACCTACTCCTATCCGTAGGTCAGCCCACTGACATCCTCATCCTGTGACATTCATGAATCCACATCCCAGGGGCCTCTCGAGCTCTTCCCCAACATGACTGCTGTTTTTAGATTTACTTGTCAAACTACTGACCAGCATAATCAACTTAAGGAAACTATACAGAATCAATAGAGATCACCACAGTTCTCCAAATCTTTCAAAGTAGCTACAATTGTTTACTATTTCTTGAGGAAACTTCATATTCTAAAGATTTTTGAACCAAATGCAAAACTTGCCTGCTGCTTTAAGAGAACACTTTATATATATCTATATATCAGATATCTCTTAAGTGGAAATTGCGTTATAATGTTTCTTTCCAGACTTGCATATTTTGTAAGTATTACAGTTGAGGATTATCTTCATGCTTTGCTTTCCAAATAAAATATACAGATGATATATAATTGTAAGTGCACAAGTTCCTAAATCAGTAATGTGTAATTCAAATATAAGGTGACTATTAAAATCAATCTTGGTACCTCAAATATATCCTTGAATAATTCTAAAGCTAGAATACAACAATTTTCAGATCCTTCCAATGGTTGGTTTAACCAGTGCACTAAAGCAATAGATGGCTCTGAAGATTTCGAGCGGGATGTGAATCTGGTACTTCCTGAGACTGGCACACCAGATGGCTCCAGTATTGTCTGACGCACAATGTGGCGTAGTTTAGTCACTGAACAAAAAGCAAGTAATAATTCCAAGACCTGAAGAAATCAGAACAAGAGGAATTAAATATTATACAGTCACGCAATTAAGCAAATATATCTTCTAGAACTGTGCACCGTGACACCTTCTGCCAAGACTATGTCAGCATTTCCATGAGTGTATTGATTTTAATTATGGTTTAATTTAGGGATGTAAGTGATTAGTAAACTAGTCACTTCCCTTCCTTGCTGCTTCTATCAGAGGCATCAAAAGGGGGGCAAGCAAAAGCCGGTGCTGGGGGGAGCTGGCTTAAAAGTCAGCTCCCCCCCACACCCAGAACCATCTCCATGGGGGACAAGGGAAACCGGGGGTAAGCAGGAACCAGGCGCGAGGTGGATATCAGCTGGCTCCCAAATCGTGTTCAGTCCCAGACGCTATGCCTCTGCTTTTTAAATGTATTCAGAGCCTGCCAGCTCTGAATACATTTTAAAAGCAGAAATGCAGCAGGGAGGATGCTGCATGAGCTGGGACAGCTGATTCTAAGCTTGCACTGAGTCTTCCCGCTGAGCTCCAGCCTTCTTTCATTTAAAGGCTGGTTCATAGCCTAGGGATCCTGTGTGCAGCGGGAATCAGCTGGCTTGGCTTACACAAGGTCTCCCTTGCTGCACTTCAGCCTTTTAAATGTATTAAGAGCCTCATCATCCTCAACCATGGGCTCAACGCCCATTGGTGTCCAATGCTCCCCATTACTATTTCCTTCCATCTATATCTAGCCAGTGCAGAGTGGCTTAGTTTCTGTAGACTAGCTTTGCACCAATCTACTATATCATCTTCCCATTCTCTCCGGGTTCTGCCTCTCCTATTCGGATCATCCATTATGCTGAATACTAAGATCTTAACTTTTCTCTCATCATTCATTCTGCAGATATGCCCGAATAGCTATAACTTCCATTGTATAATCTTCTGCAGTAGGTTCTCTTTTGGCTGTAGCTTCCTAAATAATTCCTCATTGGTGACCTCCCGCATCCATCCTATTCTCAGGATCTTTCTATAACAATTCCTCTCGAACGCCAATATCCTTCTCTTCAAATCTTCTATCATCACCTATATCTCACATCTGTACAACACACTGCTAAATACACACGTTTTCAAGACGCTCAGCTTCATTCCTAAGCTAATCGCTTTACTTTTCCAGATCTTATCCATTGCTTTCAAACTTGCGCTTGCTTTTGCTATTCTAGTTGCTATTTCCTTCTTACAGTCTAGATCATAAATCATGTTGCTCCCCGAATACATGAACTTCTCCATATTCTCTAGTTCAATCCCATCTGCATTGATCTTCCTTACCTCCAAATACCATTGTCTTCGTTTTATTGATATTCATAATCAATCCATACCACTTCCCTTCCTCATTTAGCACCTGCACCATTCTCCCTAGCTTCTCTTTATCTTCCTCAATGATAACTATATCATCCACGAACCTCATGTAATATGTTTAAAAGGTAGAGCTGCAGAGGGATTAGTTCCCCTGCTTCTCGACTAGCCGATGGAAAATACACAGACTAGCCGATGAGTTGATTAAACTAAATTTAATAGCCATAGTTTAATTTAGCAAACTGGAAACCTCGATTTAAGTCAATGATTAGGAAAATAGCTAAAGTAAAAAAGCAAAATAAGATTAATAGCTAAAGTTATTTTCATTGCCATTTAACCATGAAAAAAATGAATTTACAATACAACCTTTATATTACATTTTGTATTTATGCTAACATTTTGTATTTATGCTACTAGGAGGATAAACTATATAAATTAGAGCAATTTCATAGTTTAATTTAAGAAAGTGAATATACGTTAGTGTTAGAAATAGGCAAATAATACATTTCTTATTTACTAATATAACTTCAATTTATGACTTCTGCTTAATGTATCCATTTTAAAAGCAAAACATGTTTTGATAAACTTTTTTTCCAATATATCCAGCACTTCAAGGTAGTATAAAAATTGTTAGCTTAAACTTCTTTTCAAGTGCAGATTGACATAAGTAGTAATTTAACTGATTGACTGAGTAGTTATATGAACCGACTTTTCCTGGTCAAGACATCCTTCAAGATTATAAAACCAGCAGACCTCATCCTCTGAGATTTTTATTCACAGATTGAAAGAAAAAGCAAGCTTATTCAGCTCCCAGTCTGTTTCTCAATCTGAATGAGTTAATAATTGAACTATCTTAATAAAATTAAATAAAAACACTTTTGCCACATGCACAAGAGGCCATTGCTGTGAAAGCTGGTTAAGGATTTCAACCTAACTCTGGTTTCAGGTGCTTAGTCAGTGATTTTCTCTAGCTTGGCAAGAAACATGTACTATATGCGTATCATTTATTTAGAGTAATTTAAAATAATAGAAAAAACCAACAAATGGTCTGGTAGCACTTTATAGACTAACAAAACATGTAGATATTATCATGAGCTTTCATGGGCACAGCCCACTTCTTCAGGTCATCTGACCATTTGCTGTTTTTTTCTGTAACAGACTAAAACTCTGATCCCCTGAAGCTTAAAATAATAGAGTAGCCAATTTAGGCCTTCAAATAGGTTTTGAAATCTAAATGTAGTTTTAAATGAAATTACATTTTAACAAAATATGCAATTTAAATCAATATCCACTTTTTCATTAAAATGAATCATTCATCCATACTGGTTTCTATTACAAAAGATCACTTGCTTGTTTGCAGCCTTTTTAGATATTAATGTATTTAAGAAACCAGGTATACTTGCTAATTTAAAAGAAAAAAATTGCTCTTAAAAGACAGCAAGTTCAATTTCCCTATGATGTAGCTTTCTAGAACCCTATGCAGATACAAAATTTTATCTGCATCCCTATCTGCAAAAATGAGAAGATGATATCTGCATCCTCATCAATGAATACCTGTGGACATCCCCAAATTTATAGTGTTCTAGATACATAATTTGTACACACATTGATATCTGCAAAGTTGAGCCACGGATACCTGTTTGCACATCTATGGATGCCTGCGGATTCTCAGGGTTCTATAGCTATCCCTTTAAATAGTGTGATGGAAATCCAAATAATTTGACCAAACCATAAGGATTATTAAACCAAACAAAAAAATATTTTGCCCATGCATACTATATGCCCAGCAATCTACTGGCAAAGCACACCTTAATATATGGTGATATTAATGGATGAGAATGTGCACATTCATAAGAGATTTCAAACAACATACCTCTAGAAATCTTCATATAGAGAGCCTATATCTTTTTGTTCACTAATATATTCAATGTCCAATGCATTAAAATGATTTTGCGCATATTGTCTGCCACGTTGTAAAATTAGTCCTAGGCAGATTTACAAAACCCTTTAAAAATAGCTAAGTGTTCATTATATGCAAGGCAAACTGAAAATATGCATTAGACTTACTATTTCCAGGTTATGACTCAGTCTTCAAAATAAGAAGAATTATTTCATTTGAGGAACAATGAAATTGACAAAGGTTAACTACCTGATCCCAGAAAGTACTGGGAACCTTCAGCGCTCACTGATTTTAATGGACTCAAAGGTGTTCAGTAGTTCTTGAAACCTGAGAGATATGCTTAAGGCACCAAGTAACTAGAGCCAGTATTAGAAGTAAGCTCCTGATTTAGGCAAAATGCTTGGTAAAAAGATTCCATAGTTTCGCTCACTGTAAGATACCTTTGATGATGAATCAGGATCCCTTCCATGAAGAAGGCCTAATACTTGATAGAGGCAAGAGGTGAAGTGTTCATATCTGTATTATAAATGAAAAAAATAAACTAAGTTCTTATTTCAATAAAGTTACCCAATTAAACATTTTTCAACAGCAATGGATTAAAATGTCCTCTCCCAGTCCCTTCCTAGAATAGTTATGAAATTGTTTTCTGAAGTTTAAAGTTCAAAGAAAACATCCTCAAACTTGTAACTACTATATAAAAAAAGAATTGTGGTATACTTAAGTAGAGTCATACCTAGTAAGATAATCTGCAATTTTGGGGTTCTTCAATAGATCCATGAGTAGATCAACAGAGTATTTCCTTGTAAGTGTGCCATCGCCATTTACAAGAATGTTGAATATTAACTGAAATGTCTGATGAATGTTTCGGGCATGGAAAAGCTTTAAAAAAAAAAAAAAAAAAAAAAGGAATGAACGCTATTTATTCTGTAACAATAAATCATGCCCCACTAGTCAAAAACTCCAGTCAGAAAAATTGACTTAGTCAATGAGGTTATTTAGTAGCTTTACTCAGTTTACAAATTTCAATGAGATTTTCATAACAAGACTCCAAAATATTACCTTTTCTCCAACTTCTTCATTTAAAGTAAGGCTTGATAATATCGAAAGTGCAAACACAACCATAGTTAAACTGCTATGGGCCAAGAAACTGATCAAGGTACGATAGAAACCTTTCACGTTATTCTATGTAAAAAAGAGAAACTCATTAACAGACATTGATGACATAACCAAAAGAACTGTCTGGAATAATGATTTACAAGTAAGGATTCAACATAACCTAAAAGCTATTCTAAGGTGAAACCCAGAAAGAGGACAGTGAATTACCGGGGAAATATACAAAATGTTATTTCCATATAAGGCATATACTGGTATGAGAAGTATCCTCAAGAACAGAGATTTTTAAGTCAAACTTGAATGGTAAATAAAACAATGGAAATGGGTTTTCACCCTCATTTTTCAAGATAAATGGAATGCCTTTTCTCAAACAAGTCATTGTAGATAAAAAAGTTAGCTAGTGTAACTGACACAAAATTTATCTATTTCGCTTAATTTTTTAAAAATAAATATTGATGTTGCAAAGGAAGTCTATATTTAATGTAATCTATGGAAGGATTAACTATTCCATTTGCTGAAAATAACTAAGTATACTTCTAAATACTTTGGCAAAGCTGAAGGTAGATTTTACATTTCTATTTTATTCCCTTGTAGTCTTAATTGGGGTGAAAGTTATTTGGTGAAAATTTTTAGTTTAAATTTTCTCTAACTAACCAGGAATAACTTCAAAGATAACTATATTATTTTTAACTAGTACCCTGGGTACTCTAATTCTGCAGCATTTGATTTAAACCTCATGTCATGTAACTGCTCCAAATTGTTTCCAGTAATAAATAAAATTGTAGCAGAGAAATTAACACAACACACACCCGCACACCACAAGACAAGACAAGTGTTAAGCAACAGAACTTTTACTGCTTGAGTCTTCAGGGAAAGTAGCTGAGATGTATATTTCTTCTTTCACTTTAATCTGGCCCCCTGGATTAATTCCAGTGGCATGGAACCTGTCTCTTTCCCCATAAAATAGCACAATTTTCCCACTTAGCTGTGAATTCATCACTCAACTCTAAGCCATAATTAACATTAATTTGTGCAGTGGTGGGAACAACAATATAAGGTACAGTACTGTTTTACAGACTGGTGTCAATGCTGACATGACTCCAATACGAAGATTGGGGTGATTTTTGTTTTTTCTCAGAAAGGCAAAAGCCTTAAACAGTCAAGTTATACCCAAACAATGTGCTTCTCTCAACACCTCAACTGATGGACCAGATTCAAACCTTAATTTAGTACTTCACCAAAGAAGTGTGAAAGCAGCATGTGATCTCTGAACGAGATGGTAATGGTGTGAACAAAGCACAGGAAAAGGTGGGGGCTCCACATTAAAATTGTGGAAAATGATCAGTGGGATAACATGGCACAGCAAGCTTTGGAACACAACTGGAAATCAAAATCCTGCACGAGGGATGTGAAGGAAACAGGGTGTTTGGCAAAAGGGAAGCTCTAGGTCATCAAAAGATCAGAGTCCACTAATCTCTTCCTTTTGTCTACCCTCAAAGGAAAATACATAATTAGAGAGGTTTCTTACCAAAGATTTTATATGAGCTTGAACAGAGAGATTGTGTCGACAAAGATTTGCCATGAGTCCCAAACATGGTATTGTTAATTCGTCTTCTGTTGACTGGCTAAAAGAATTCCACAGGACGTAAGAATTTAACAGTTACAGAAATTTAGCTTAATTTATACATTAAGAATTCAATGAAGTCTGCTTCTATGCAAAAGCATCCACCCCAATTAGTCAAGTATTACAAAGACGCTTATAAACTTGCAAAAAAGAGAGGAGTCCTGTGGCACCTAAAAGACTAACATTATTTGGGCATAAGCTTTTATGGCTAAAAAACAGTTCTGCAAATGTGATCACGCAACTGACCAAGAGGTTTTTGCCCAAAAAAGTTTATGCCAAATAAATCTTAGTCTTTAAGGTGCCCCAGGACTCCTCATTTTTGCAGCTACAGATTACCACGGCTACCCCAAGACCCGAATACACAGTCAGTATGGAAAAGCTACCACAATACAAAAGTAAAACCAATCACATTAACTGTTCATGTCAATGGTCATCACCCTGCAATGGACACCAGATGCATGAACTGACGTCATGAGAGCTCTCCTACAGGCACAGATATCTGCCAACACAGAACTTGCTGTAGAGTTAACGGCTCAAATTGTGTGATAAATCTAAATGCCCTCACTATTATTTTAGTTTTTTGGTTTATTTCTTTCATTATTTCCTCAAAAAAGCACACATTCTCCTTAAATTCCACCAGCTGTTAAAAATCACAAGTAAATGTCCCATCTTTAAATATTCTTTGCAACAGCAGCACTTTGAAAGAGACGAATGATTTAGAAGTGATTACTACATAACATATGCTACATCAAAAGCTTGAGAAATAACACATTAATGAAGCTATTAAAGATTAGAAACATGCTTAGCTAAAAAAGAAAAACAACACAACTTACATATGGTGCATTATAAATAAAATCAATTCATCAACATTGGCGTTGGCATGAAAAACTCTGACATTGTAGGTTAATTTCTGAAGAAGTTGAATACTCTGAAGAAACAAAACAAAATCAATTACATAGCTTTCCCACAACATTCCACTGTAGAATATAGACACTTGCAGATAAGAGTACTTCTCAACAGTTTAATTGGTCATAAGAACAATGGCTATCAATTCTGAGACTTGGTTATATTTGGATCTATCGTCTTTTAGCAAATATACCCCACACCCGAGAATAACCCGCACCTGAATATACTCCGCGGTTTCTGCAGTTTGAGTAAAAAAAAATATTGTATACCCCGCACACGAGTATAACCCGCAGGGTTTACAAGACTTTTTTTCAAACTGTGCGGGGGAAGGGAGGCTTCTACAGGTGCGGGGGTGCAGAGAATTAGCCACCCTCCGGACGGGGGTGCACTCACCCCGCCTGGTTCCCGTGCAGCCACACAACCTCTGGGCGGGGGAGCACTTACCCCCCTGGGTCCCACACAGCAGCACAACCTCCAGGAGGGGGAATGGAAGCACTCCCCCACCCCTTCCTGCGGCTGTGCAGCCACCAGTCTCCGAATAGATAGCTGGGAAACCAGTATAAGCCAAAAGAAAATCTAAAGTGTTTTTTAAAAAAAGCATTGCCAAATGCTCCTGGTTAATAAAGAGAACAGCTCAAAAGCACCAAAATCAATCTGGGGAGGACTGCTTTAAGAATGAGTAGGATTAGCCTGCAGCTATTGGTGCCAGAACAGCTGTGAACAGAGGGAAGAAAACAACCATGAAATTACTGTAAGTAATCTGCAGACCTTCACTGAGGAAAATCAGTTTTCCCTTCATTAATGACTGATCAAATAAGTTGACTAGACAATCAGTGTATATAAGTATTTATATCACTTCTATGCCTCAGTCTCCCTTGTATGAAAGGGAATAGCGAGGTCTGTCTCCTTTGTAAAGTACTTTGAGATCTACAGATGAAGAGTGCTATATGAGGGGGAGTTAAAAAGGTCTGTTAAAAGTAGAGAGGTCAGTGAGTAGTTGACTACATGATTAACTGATAAGCCGAAGCTTATCAGTTAATCTCGCTGACTACTCACATTCTCCCCCTGTATCAGAGACGGGAGGAGGGGGGGGGGGGGGAAGGGGGCGGAGAGGAGGGGGGCAGGAGAGAAGTGAGAAATGGCAGAGGGCTCCCTAGCAGTGGGGCCAGGAATGCACTGGCTGACATCCCCATCCCCAGGGACTATAGAATAATTGGTTTAACCTTTAAGATTTTGTGGGATTACATGACACTTCAATTACCCAACATCTAACATCCCTAGTTACAAGTTGCATAGAAATATGCAAGACAGAGGTCAACTAAAAGAGTTATTTTTTTAAATACTTGCTTCAAAATTATAGAAAATGAACTCTCTCCCCAACACTAGCTTCTTAAGTAAATGTTGAAAGTTTCTAAGTCAATAGTTTTTGTAAATTAGAGCATGGTGAAATCACAAGATAAAAATAAATAAGCAGTTGATTGTAAGTACTGAAAAGTAGTTCTAGAACCATCTGTACATCACTTAGATACTATTATGATGGTGTTAGGGAGGTCAATGTTTAACCTTAACCAGTGGGAGCTGGCTAATCCAGCCCCCACAGGGGCCTGCCATGGACAAGGGCTGCTCCAGCCAAGTCGATGCATCCCCGTTCAGTTTATTTCCTCAGCAACCCTCCTCTTTAATCAATTAACCAAATAAACAATGTTTAATCAATTAACCAATTAAGCTGGATTTCACATCCCTAGATGGTGTTATAGAAAACAGAGAGTAAATAAAATATACAACTTAAATATACAACCTCAGCATGGACCAGTCTACACAGGAAGTCCATTTCCTGGACACCATGGTGCAAATAAGTGACAGTCACATAAACAACATCCTATAGCGAAAGCCTACCGACCGCTCTGCTTACCTGCATGCCTCCAGCTTCCATCCCGAACACACCACACGATCCATTGTTTACAGCCAAGCACTGAGGTACAACCGCGTACGCTCCAACCCCTTAGACAGAGACCTACACCTACAAGATCTTCAACAAGCATTCTGTAAACTATGATACCCACACGAGGAAGTGAGGAGACAGATTGACAGAGCCAGACGTGTACCCAGAAGCCTCCTGCTACGGGACAAGCCCAAGAAAGAAACTAACAGAACACAATTCATCCTGGACAATGATCCCTAGCTTTCACAGGCCTTGGGAGGCAGGCCAGACCTTGCCCACAGACAACCCGCCAACCTGAAGCATATTCTCACCAGCAAATACACACCACACCATAATAACTCAAACTCAGGAACCAATCCATGCAACAAACCTCGGTGCCAACTCTGCCCACATATATACACCAGCAATACCATCACAGGACATAACCAGATCAGCCACACTGTCACTGGTTCATTCTCCTGCACATCTACTAACGTAATATACTGGTTCATTCTCCTGCACATCTACTAATGTAATATATGCCATCATGTGCCAATGCTCCACTGCTACATACATCGGCCAAACTGGACAGTCCCTATGTAAAAGAATCAATGGACACAAATCAGATATTAGGAATGGCAACATACAAAAACCTGTAGAGGAACACTTCAATCTCCCTGGACACACAATTGCAGATCTAAAGGTAGTCATCCTTCAGCAAAAAAACTTCAGGACCAGACTTCAAAGAGAAACTGCTGAGCTACAGTTAATCTTTAAGTTTGACACAATCAACTCAGGATTAAACAAAGACTGTGAATGGCTCGCTAACTACAAAAGCAGCTTCTCCTCTCTTGGAATTCACACCTCCAGATCAGCTACCAGAAGTGGGCCTCATCCTCCCTGATTGGATCCACCTGGTCAGCTCCAGCCTGATTCTGGCCTGCATATTTATACCTCCCTCTGGAAATTTCCACTACATGCATCTGACAAAGTGGGTCTTTGCTCACGAAAGCTTATGCTCCAACACTTCGGTTAGTCTATAAGGTGCCACAGGACTCCTCGCCGTCTATTTATTATGAAGATCATTTTGAGTTCCTTTAAGTGCATAATGTCTTTTAGAGATGTCTGCTTACTGAAAAGATAACATTTTGGTTTTGTTATAAATGTTTGAGAGTGGACTGTTTAAAAGAACTAACTCTATGGTATAGATAAAGTATTAAGCATTACTATTTTTACCTGTAACAATACTGGATCATTAGGGTTGGTAGAGCTTCGGCGAACCACTCCTGCCAGCACGCTTGTCAAATTATAAGTATTCTGAAGAGCTTCTCTGGTCTCACTGTCCAAAACTATAATGTAAAGGCATTTATTAAAGTCATCCTGCACAACCACAGTTAGTAACAGAAGCAACATTTCCTAGTGGTCTGAGCACTAAATTGGAAACCAGCAACTGAGCTCTGTCCCTAGTTTGTATTTGTTTTAAAACCAGTTCTAACTTTTTACATGATCTATAACCATAAGCAAGTCAAAATTTCTCTCTGCTTGTTTCTAGCCTCCCTTCTGTCCAAATGCGAAATGGGACCACTACCACTTATTTCACAGGATGTTACTAGGACCCTTCCATCCTATCTAAAAAAACCCTCCTGAATTATTGTAGGTCAGCTGTGCAAACTGTCAAGCAGTTTTACTAGCATGAGCAGAAAAATCCACTTGCAGTTTTCCCCAGTAAGATGGGAAATGGGGGACCTCAAAACTCAGTTTACTCACAAATCAAATGCACCTCAAGATAGAACTAGTCACACTATTGAGTAAACATGCAGACTTTTATAAAGGAAATCACTGCCATTATAAACTACTCATTCTCATATCTACCTCCAACCATGACTTATCACCCTTGGATAGAGTACAAGAAACTTACAAAATAATTTAATAAGCTTAATATAGGCATTTCACCTACATTACTGTTACATTTTCGGAACCCATCATGATCCTTTAAAAACAGATTATCTACCCCTTATCACTGCAACATACACCCAGACGTAATAAACCTAAAATGGCCAGCCCACTTCCAATACTCTGCAACTTCATTTATTTCCTGACTTTCATGGACCAGAGAGAAAAGATCACCCTTCAAGCAGATCCTGGAGATTGGCTTGAATAAACCTGGAGCAAGTTCCAAAATGCATCCCTGTAACAAATGCCCTGCATTCTGTTTCATATCTCAGACACTTCTGCTGACTGCAACCGGGAAGCATCTCAAAGGGAAAGCAACTATCAAAGAAAATTAATATTGCCATGTGTCATTCACCGGTTACATAAGCCAGGTTGATGTAGAGAAAGAGATACACACCATCATATGTTTTGAATGTTAAGACAACCACTGACTGTATGGATTTAGAATCAAAATTCTCCTATATGGGTATATTAGATAGCAGTCAAGCAAAAGAGCTTTTACATAGTCTTCTGAAGCATCTGGTATGGGAACTAAATCAGATGGCTTTTTTATTATTCAGTTTGGCAATTTCTGTGATCCCATAAAATGCAAGACATTAGACATTGCCAGGAATAAAATAGAAAACTAAATTCTTGGTAATTTTTCTCCAGCACGCAGTTAATTCCCCATCCCTAAAATCAATGCAATTTGCACAGATAATATAGCAGATAACTCACTTCTGCATGCAACCTGTCACTGATTCAAACTGTTTTAAGATTTATTAAAAATGTTTGAAAAATGAGCTTTAATTCTCTTAAAAGAAAAGTTAGATGTAAATAAATTACCTAGTTGTGACAACAAAGTAATCACAGACAATGTTAGACATGGACTTATATTTGGGTCCTCGATGAGCTCTATTAGACAGCTCAGACATTCGCTAGGCAGTATTTGGTTTGATGCAAACAATCTCGTTAGCTTCAATCCAGAGATAACCTAAAAGACATGTTAGAGTAACTATTAATATAACTACAACCATATTTGTCTCATTTCAACACAAGATTGAGAAGGTAGTTATACTAGGGATGTAAGTAACTAGTCCACTATCCGGGACTCCCTAGTGGCCCTGGCCTCCACACAGCATTTCAATCTTTGAAATGGACAAGAGCCCCTGCTGGTGCTCTTGTACATTTCAAAGGCAGAACGCAGAAGTCCTTATCGACTCATCAAATAGTTGATGGAAATTCCATCGACTATTCTGTTAATTAGTTGAAATTTAACATCCCTAAGTTGCACTGAACTGAAAAGATAATACTGTCAATAACTCTAGCATCACTAACAGCACACTGACATTTTTATTTGCCTTTTTCAAGCTCACTTTTGTTGAATTTTTAGAATTCTGGAAATATGTTTTTCATTACTGTAGTGTCCTTTATATTTTAAAAAAACATACATTTCTTATCTTTCCAGGGGGGAGGGGGTGGAGGGAGAAGGGGAGGAGGATAGGGAGGACAGAAATTCAGGGATTCTCATGGGCCAGACTAACTCTTCTGGAGTCCCAGAACTGGTACTTTTTTGGGCCCTCCTAGGTTCTGGAGTAAAGGGTTTAGTGTACAGTACTGGACTGCTGGGGAGTAGGATAGAGATGGGGGGCACAGGGTCTGGTAGGGTGCAGGAGCCGGCTGAGAAGTGGGGGGCCTGACAGGATGAAGGAGTGGGCTGAAGGAGGGGGGAGTGCCTGGCCAGGAGGTTGGGTGCAGGAGAGGGCTGCGGGGGGGGGGGGGGGGGGGTGTATATAAAATAGCGTTTTCCTTTACTCGGTTCCTGTGTCTAAAGGAGCAACAGAACCAATTTACTTACTACACAGGAAAAGCAATACAGTGACCATATCTGAAAAGATAAATTGACTAGAGACAGAAAAAAGCTCCCCGGTCGTGCAAGATACTTCTATAGCGTCACGTCGGGGCCCCCAGAAGCAAGACCAACAATAAATACATCCAAGAAGTGCGATTTCCAAGGCAGCGCTGTGTCTAAAGGAGCAACAGAACCAATTTACTTACTACACAGGAAAAGCAATACAGTGACCATATCTGAAAAGATAAATTGACTAGAGACAGAAAAAAGCTCCCCGGTCGTGCAAGATACTTCTATAGCGTCACGTCGGGGCCCCCAGAAGCAAGACCAACAATAAATACATCCAAGAAGTGCGATTTCCAAGGCAGCGATGTAATGAGACCAGCAGCCAAATCCAGAACGAGATGATGCTGCAGAGGGCAGGACCAGGTACCACCCCTGACAGATTTGCCCCAGGTCCCTAAACGGCCCCCTCAAGGATTGAACTCACAACCCTGGGTTTAGCAGGCCAATGCTCAAACCACTGAGCCCC